CCTCTTTTAATAAAAATATTTTTTTATCTTCATTGTTAATATATTTCACTTGAACTAAATTTACTTCTGCTATCTATTTAATTGGCTAACTTATACATACATATTTCACCCTCCTTACTATATAATCCATAACATAAATCATTAAAAGAAAAATTATTTGCATTGCATATTACTTTCTTGGATTCCTTAGAGATCCATTTATATTAATCCCAATTTTTCAATCTTTTATATCTAAACAGACTTTTATAATAAAGCTTCTTATTTTTTTATCTTTTCATGCGCATTTTGATTCTACCACCAACTATTCTTACTATTAATAACTTTTTCTTTTAATACTCCAATCACATCTAATACAATATGCTTAATATCACCAGCTACTTTTTCTCACATAATCTTAATTTCTCCAAGCACAATAAAATCTTAATATCTTAAATCTTACACTCAAAAATATTTTTTTTGTTAGCATTTTATAAATGTCCTTATCTAATCCTAAGATAATGTTTTATTTTACTTTGCATATTTCACCCTTCATCTTAAAACTCAAAACTAATAAAAATGTTAAGTACATCAATTTTCACTTAGAATAACTATACAATCTAAACGATATATTTTTCTTATTTGAAAATAATTACCAGACTTTTACTATATCATTCTTATAAGTGATGAGAAGCTCCTCTTTTTTTTTTTAAATGAGGAATTAACAATTACAAAATCATAAGCTAGAAAAAAATCCAATATGATCCTGCCACTTTCATTAGTCGCTCCAAACTCATAGCTATCATGAATGATTTTAAAATCTTCTATCATTCTACTAACTTGTTCATTTAAATCTCCTCCAATAAACACTATTTCTTTAAGAGGTATCATTTGTATTTATTCTTCTAAGTCATTCCAAAATGTTAGTTTTGAACATATATCTGAACCTACTCCAAGAGCATAAACACTTATAATATTACTAATTTTAGCATCAATAATAATCTTTAAAGCTATAATTTCATCTCCAATTCTATTAATTTCTATAACATTATCCTTCAAACTCTTATCTAAAATCACACATGCACCATTTCTAGTACAACTTCCATTAGAATACCAAAGTTCAAATTCTAAACTATCAATCTCCTTAACTTCTCTACGCACTATTTAATTTTTTGAATGCATAGAATATTTATCTTCTTATGAATTATAATTATATTAATTCTATTAATTTTTCAGTAAGAAAATCAACAGTCCAAGTTTCTATCCTGATTATAGTTTCTTAGACTAGTTTCTTTGCTCACATCCGTGCATCTCCAATTATATTAATCTCCTTAGCTAACAACAGTCATATGAAGCCATCCATAATGATAGCAATAAAATCACAATTGTTTCTATGCAGAAACCACTCATCAAAGCCAGCTTGAAGACCCTCAAAGCACTATCACTCTCATAAGAAATTGATGAGGACATCGAAGATCAACGGCTACGATCGTGTCTATTCATTTTGATGTATTTGATTTGTTATTTGTACTTTTCTCTTTCTACCCTCACTTGAGGGCTTTATCTTATGTTTGCCCTAGGGGCAATTGTGTCTTTTATTTTCCTTCATGTATTTGGCTATTTAAGCCTTTCCCTTCCTCTTGGAAAGGGATGATGATTAATATGAAAATTTCAGCTTGTGCTTATGGATCTTTTTGTGAGTTCTAAGTTTTCTCTCTTGGGATGATCTCTTAGTGAGTTTGTGAGAGGAGAGGCCCAAGTGGGGCAAAAGCAATGCCAGTCAATCTTGGTGGATTCCAAGGTACGCGGTTCTCTTATCTTTCTTGTTCTTTTATTTTCTTCTTACATCGAATTCCCTCCTCCACCCAATTCATCTTCTAGCTCCACCGCCTAAATCCCACCCACCTATCTAACCACAACCCGCCACCTAGCCGCTCTCTTTCCCCTTTGCCACCGCCCCCCTCATAATTCCCCCCTCATTATGATGATTTCATCATTATGATGATTGAAATCATCATAATGACTTCCTAATTTAGCTCAAGAATGAGAGGGAAAATTTGACTTCCTTAAATTTCAAATTCAAATTTCAAATTCTTTCCATATAGGGAATCCCAAATTAGGAAAGTATCAATCATGAATTCAATTTCAAAATAAATCAAATTAGATTTATTAGTCCCTTTCCTCAATTTTAAATTTGAAATTCAAACTTAAAAAACTTTCCTTATTTGCAAATCTAAATTAGGATAGTGCATAACTCCAAATCTATTTGAATTTCAAATTAGATTTGAGTTGTCATTATCTTTCCTAAATGACATAAATTGTTTTGGAAGTTACAAATCCTCTCCCCAAATCCCTCCCTCTCTCTCCTATCTCATTAATTCTAGCCATTATTACTCCCTTATTAACGCCCCAAATTAAGCCCCTATTCAAATTCAAATTGAGCCAAATTAATCCTCCAATCAATTCCCTAATCCACCTCAGCCCTAGCCGCCCTCTCCCAGCCCTTCTTCTCTCTGATTTCTCTCTCCCTAGAGATTCCTACAAGCTGTCCACGAAATTCCAGCAAAACGTCTTGCTGTCCAGCACCCTTGGGAGTCACGATTTGCTGTCTTGAAGCTCCTTACACCCTATAGCAGTTGTCCAAGGCTTCTCTACGCCGTATTATTTACTGTCCAGATTTCTGGACGGATTCTATAATCTGTCCAGAACTTTTCCATTCTCAACATATCCAGAAATCCAGAGATTGGGAAAATTGCTGTCCAAGTTGTCGGGATCGCTGTCCAGGGAAGTTCTGCACTTTTCCATTGCTGTCCAACCAACCCAACTGTTGCCCAGCCCTCCTGGAGTCCACACCCTGCTGGCCGATGACTCCCAATCCCTCCTAGGAGCTGTTCAAGCTTGTGAAAGGATTTCGATTGCTATCCCATTGCAGAAACAGCCATCGTCGACACCAAAGCTTCATGTCTTCTGTTTCATGTAGGTAAACTCTTCCACCAAACTCTCTTATCTTCCTAGTTCACTTATCACTTGTGGTTATATGTTGATTCACAAAATATCATCCTAATTCTTCCCCGCTAAAGCTTAGATAAATAGAGAGTTGAGTGAGAGACTCGTTCATAGTGCCTAATCTCATTGTTAATTTAGGGATTTACGTTGAACCATTCATGTATGCAATGTTAGATTAACTTGATTGTTTTCTGATCCTAACTCTTACGCGTGTGATTCAGCCTAAGCTTATTTTACCGCTCTTAGTGTTTTCTTTTGTCGTTAGAAAATTCATTGTGAATATATGATTATTATGGCTTCTAACACTTAAGCGTGCAAACTATTCAAGTAATTCAACTTTGCATGATCGTTTTACATCAGAAACAAAGCCACACATACCGCAGGAATTTGTGAAACAAAAGAACTAGAGCCACCATTCAAGATACTGTTATGCCGGTCCAGCATGGACCGGCTCAACCTGGACCGGCCCAGCCGGTCCGGGTTTTCTCCAGGCGGAGACGGGCCAGGGATCAGGCGGAAGTTTCAAAGGGGGCTGGGGTGGGGTCCACTTGAAATTCAAACATGGTTTAAGTGTTTTTGGAGGGAGAAGGAAGGGTAGAGAAGTCCTTTTGCTTTTATTTTGTATTAGATTGTTTTAATAGGGAGTTATGAGGGGAATTAGGTTATCATCTTGTTTTTGAAAAGAGTTTGGTGTTCTAGGGTTTCTTGCTTGGGCTCTTGGCGTTGCCGGAGATTGTTGGAGAGTTGTTCTTCCTCTCGAATTGAAGAACATTGTATCTTGCTTTGGTTTTGTTTGTCTACTAGTGGAATACAATCGTTTCTATTGTTTTCCAAGAATTTCTCCCTATTTTTCTACTGCTTTTGGCTGTTTTACTGCTGTGGACAGCAGTTTTCATCTTGGATCTTTTTGCTTTTGGTGAGAGACACTTGGAAATCCAAGGGGTTCCTATCAGATACCACCCAGCTCTCAAAGTTCAGATCAGATTTCCACTGCTAATAGGAGATGCAGCTGCCACGAGGATAAAGCCAATCCAAAGCGTGTTCCACCTTTCAAGGAAAAATAAAACCACATCTACCATTAACATATGAAACAAAGCCAAGATCCACCACCAAGCACAATAGAGAATGTTACAAAAGATGTCGTGTCACCCTTTTTTTTTCAATTTCTCAATAAATGATAGAGATCCGTTCCTTCACAAGTATATTTACGATGACTTGTTCAAATTTAAGCAACCTTGAGACATTTCCCTGTAGAAATTTCTGAAAGGAACACACAATTTTCTCCCGTACTAGAAATGAAAGCAAGAAGACAATATGAAAACCAGTTCAGAATAAAACTTACAACTTAATGCCCTTAAGCCCCAAGTGGAATTATAACTTTTCTAATGATTTCAATAGGATATGTGGCAAGTATTTGTGCTCAACAAGGCTTTTTTGGTTCCAAGACCCATCAATAGGTCATAAAAAATGTATAATATGCAAAATATAAAATATTGACCATCAAAAACAAACCTTTGGACCAACAAAAGTCACAGTTTATGGCACAGAATATTGAATATAACATTATATAAAATGTTTACATATCTTGCTTGCTATTGGCGTTATTCATATCATTGACACTTCCATTAACATCACAAATAGGAATCAAGTGGGAAGCATTAGGAAAGCATCAAACCAAGGACATCAACTTATTTTATGTTATGATAATTTTGGCGTTATTCATATCATTGACACTTCCATATCATCACTAATAGGAATCAACTGGGAAGCATTAACTACTCTTATAACAGCAGAGCCTGTGCCAGAACACACAAAAAACATGATTTAATACATGGTTTCTTAAGTTAATAAACCACATAGAATCAATCCTCAATAACTTTTACTAGCCACAACAACTCAAGAATTATGTAAACTACCTTCTATTGTTTCGTATTTTAAGTTACCTAATTTTTATTAAAACAAGGAAAAATTAATAGCAACTCCAAAAAATAGATAAGAATTCCAAGAAAAAGCATTACCTTGGTAGCTCTCTTCATATTGCAACCCCGAAGGTAACCATATAATATGATATTTCTATCACATTTTTTATTTGAATGCAATCGCTCAGAAGGTGTTAAATCTTCAAAACGATCTACAAGCAGATAAGGATGTACAGCTCTCCATGATAATGGATGATGTTTCATAACAGAGATAAATCTAGCCAGGTTGTGAATTTCACGTTTAGGGTATCTGTCACGGGAGCAAATCAGTGAAAGTAGTCACAGATCAGCCATCATTCAAAATCTATCAAGACGTTGGAATAGAAAGTAAAGCCAAAAAACACTGGCCAAAAACAAATTACTTAATGCACCAAATATTTGGACTTGTTAGTTAAACACACTAACAATCAACGAAATAAATTCATTAGCTGCATGAAGAAATTTTATTACAAGACAAATGCAACTTACTTCCCATGAATAAGCCCAGATAAATAGAACAACTTTGCCCCTTCTTTTATCTCAGTCCAGAAGCGATGCTTAAGACGCTGCTTTGTTTTTCTCAATTTCTTCACATCTTCAAATTTATCAAGATGTGTGAGCACACCCATGACCTTCGGGAATCCATGGACTTGCAAAATGTTAAGAAACTCAAAAGTTTCCTGAAATAAAGTGTTAAATAAAGGCAAGTTTTAGTTGCATGCATAGATAACTACAAAGGAGCCTAAATAAAAGAACGGCACATTATTTAATATCAGTGAAAAGATTAACTATTTTTAAACAAATTTATAAGCGTCAAGGTTAGACCATACTTTGCCCAACTGATGGCTCCTACGTGACCAACTCAGTTCATATTCAAAAGGTATATAGTATGCATGAAGAATAAGAACCAAAATTAGGAGCTTGAATATAATATAGATGTAGTTAAAAAGTGGTATAAAACTTAAAAGTTTTGTGGTCATCGTATAGAACTTTACTCATACTAAAATTCAAATAAAACTACACTATTTCAAACTTGAACATACATGCTCATACTAAAATTCAAATAAAACTTCACTATTTCAAACTGGTCATCAATCATCATAACACAAACATTTTGTATTTTTGTATTTTTAAAGGTTGTCAATTTTGAGATTCACATCAAACAGGGTCTCACCAATTATAGAATATGGTAAGGGATTGTTGTATGTAGCTTAACCACGCTTTAGCATAGAAATTGTATGATGGTTAGAAATTTCAATCTCCAACATCTTACTATGGGACAAAACCTAATCCAAGCCACCCTCAATACATGATACTTCTTTCCATTTAAGAAAATAACAATTCCATAACATATGATCATTGCATCCTCTGAACAAAAGGATAATGCACTCAAGATGCAGAACTTCCTAGTTAGCAGACAAGATAATTTCTATGATTGGTGAATTGATACAAAAAGTATATAGCTTACCATTTCAAAACCATAACTTCCATCAATCAGCAACAATACAAGGTCAGCAAACTTTGCAGCATCAATCATGCCATTAATATCATTTGGACACTCCACAAATTGTACTCTCCTTTGCTTTCCTGCAGAGGCGGAAAATTTATTTATTATTTCATTGTCTTCCATCAGTGATTTTTATAACCACTCGGTGCCTGAGCAGATGCATGCCAATTTGATGAAAGAAAATAAGGCATCGACTTAAACTTGTTTACAAACCTGTTACAACGGTTATTGGACCTCGAACCTCTGATAAGTTTTGTTTTGTAAAGTGCTTCACTAGACATTTTATCAATAGAGACTTCCCGACCTGAAAAAGCAAAACTTGCAATATTAGCAAAACCCCGTCTAAGTTGATGTCAGAAGTCAATTAAGCTTTCAACTTATATCTTCGTTAGTATTAACCAAAGAAAGTACCTTAGGAGGTCCATGAACCACAACAACATATGGAGCCGGTTCCCCAATCGAATGATCAATAGTAGGAAAATGAAGCCTGCGCTGCTCTTTCTCTGCTGCTTGTGATTGCAACCGCTTGGCTTTAACAGATGAACTAAAAGCAAATGCCTAGAAAAAAGGGGTAATGAGCATTTCAAAATCTTTGGAAGGAACTACATTACGGAACGGCAACAATAATGATCACTTTAGGTGTTACCACACCGATGACGTAATGAACATGATTAGTCATTTAGAAGGTTATGATATAACAGGATATAATACACAATAAATGAGCAATAAGAATGAATGGACATGATTCCATGTACAAATACAAAACAATCAAAGCAACCAACAGCTTGCATAGGAGAAACAAAAATAATTAAAACGTATCATGCTTAAGCATTTACGGAATGAGCCTTAAAAACTATACGCACCCTCCAATTGATATTAGCTCTTAATCTTTATTTGCTTTCATATGCTTATGTGATCTTAAGTAGAGATTACTAACTCATCTAGTCATCTACGTTTCCAATTAATTTATTAACCTGAGCTCTTCCTCTTAGAGAGATTGATGTCCAATTATACTTGCATTTCTAATGAATCTCACATGCTTTTCAATCAACCTTACGTGCTGGAAACAAATTCCATAACACTGAACATAATGCTTAAAGTTCCAGAGTATAACAATATATGTGGGCACATGCATCATAACTTATAAACTAAAACAATACTAATCTTTAATCAATGTATGCCTTTAATGTGCCGCATGCAAAAAGATCCCCATAGTTACAAAAAATTCAATCAATGTGGCCTTCAATGTGCTGCAGGCAAAAAGGCATTTCTGCTTGAGATTGTTACTTACAGAGAAGTTATAGATCAAAAAGAAACTATAATTACCTTTGGATTCTGCTGTTTTCCATCATTAGAAGTCCCTTGTTTCTTCTTTGAGGAAGAATTCTTTGAAGATGCACCAGACTGTGGTGCTCTGTGAGTTTTATGATGCTGCACACCAGTAGCAGTCCCCATTTTATTGCAAAAGTCTCTACAAGAAACAAAAAGTGTAAAAAATTCTGAAAAAGAAAGGGATATGTGAATGAACAAAATTACAACTAGGATAAAATTTGATTAATTAAAAGAAAGAAAATTAACGCTTCAAGCACTTCTAGTAAGCATTGTATAAATCAAGCGAACGCTTTGAGCGCTTCTACTAAAGATGTTAGTGTTATCAATCAAATGTTAAAAGCATGGTTCAATGTCGTTATCACAAAATATCTCTGTTTTATTTAAATTGTTATTGTTGTTATTTTTTAAGTCCAGTACAACCACAATACCTGTTATAATTATCTTTTTTTTTTTTTTTTGAAATCAAAAGAATTTCAAGAGCATTTGAAGCTAATATAAAGGTTTACAATGAATTCAAAAGGATTCTATCAAATAAAGTAGCGGAGAGAAAGGGAGAAAGGTCCCGGCAGACAGAAAGTTTCTTCAATTGGTAACATACGTTATCATATTCTTTCAAGCTTTTTCTTTGAAACAAGTCCCCATTTATTTCCCAGGTACCGCCTCAAGTAAATATATACATAAGATCATTTTCACTTATATTTCCATTCTATCCAGCACCAGAATAAAAAAAAAGAAAGAAAAAATAGTTTACCAGCTTAGTTCAAATAATAAGTAGCTTTATTTTAAATTAAAAGAAACATAATTTTCTTAAAAATACATGTTGTTGGTGGCAAACTCCAACCTCGCAGTCAATTTTTAAATAACTGGATTTTTCTCTAACCTTCTGAGTAAACTTTTATACATAGCCAATTCATGTTTCAAAAATAAACTCTTTCAAATGCTTTAACTTAATCAACAAAAGTTCCAATACTGTAAAAGCATTTCTTACAACAACAATATCAAGCCTTTATCCCACTACGTGGGGTTGGCTACATGAATCATTTTTCTCCATTGTGTCTTATTAAAAGTCAAATTCTCGTTTAAATCTAATAGAGAAAGATCATTTCTAATATTTTCTAACCAAGTCTTTTTAGGTCTGCCTCTACCTTTCTTAACATAAGTCAAATCTAATACCTCTAATTTCCTAACTGGGTCATCGGAAGGCCGCTATTTTAGTGACCAAACCATTTAAGGCGACTCTCTCTAATCTTATCTTCTACTAGAGCTACTCCAATCTTTTCACGTATATACTCATTTCGTATCCTATCTCTAAGGGCTATGATGCACCGACACGGCACTTAGAGAGGGTATGCAGTGTCGGACACGTGTCCGACACGGACACGCGTCGGACACGGCATGGACACGTGTCCAACACGGCATTGGAGTGTCGCAATTAAAAAAATTAAAATTAAAATTAAAATCCGGTTATTAAATGAGGTATCGCTCGGTACATGCTCGGTACCGCTAAGTACATGCTCGGTACCGCTCAGTACATGCTCGGTACCGCTCAGTACATGCTCGGTATTGCTCAGTACATGCTCGGTACCGCTCAGTACATGCTCGGTACCGCTCAGTACATGCTCGGTACCGCTCAGTACATGCTCGGTACCGCTCAGTACATGCTCGGTATACCGCTCAATACATGTTCGGTATTGCTCAGTATATTATCGGTACTGCTCAGTACATGCTTGAATTGTTAG